TTTTTTTTTGGTACTGGGATTTGAACTCATGACCTCGTACTTGCCAGGTGGGCACTATGTATTACACTACATCCCCAGCCCCATGGCAGTCAACCTTGATGTTAGCTTCACAGGATGAAGAGACTCCCAACAGGTGAAGAGACCAAGGTGGCACTGTACTCATCAGCAGACCAAGCCACTGATGCCCCCTGCTGAATTTGCCTAAGAAGGTGGAGCCCAGCTGCAGAGGGGGCATGTGTACATGTGCCTTGAAAGGGTGGATCTCCCCATGGCACTGCTCCCCAGTATTCCGCAGGACTCTTGCTCCCCAGCCACCAGGACATGGCCAGCTTTACCCTGCCATGCCCTTCTGCCATGATGCTCCTGCCCTGGAGCCAGCTGACCACGGCCTTCCACAGACAGCCCCCGAAACCTGGAGCCAAATTAAGCCTCTCTTCCTACAAGCTGAAGCACTGGGTATTTTATCCAGGGAACTGAAGAGCTGACTGATACGTAAGTCACGCAACGCCTCTTCAGGAATCCACTTGGGAGATGTAGTCTGTAGGAGCTGGAGCACAATGGCCACCAGGGTGATGGCAGGTTCCTTTGGACACTAAAATGACCTAAAATTGCTTAGTAGTGTTGGCTGCACAACTGTGAAGTACATGAACTGCATCTCAGTGAGATGGCAACCCTGAAATACTCAGCTCCGGGTCCCTGGCTCTCAGGAAATGCTTTTCACCATCAGCCAGCTATGCAAGAGGAGTGTGCCCAGCCCTTAACCCCACAGCACACTGGCGGGCAGGAGGACAAGGTGGGCTCTAAGTCATATGTGCCATGTGGAAAACACACACACACAAGTTAAATCACTTCTCACCAGGCTTGGTGGTGCACACCTGTAATCCCCATGGTCAAGAGGCTGAGGCAGGAGGACTGCTCTGGGTTCAAGGCCAGCCTGGGCTACACGGTGAGCTCAAACCCAGCCTGAACTATAATATTTTGCTTCATAAACAAAAATAATCAATAAAATAATTATGATAGCTAATAAATTCACCAAGATCAACACATAAATCAGTTGTGTTTCTGCATACCAGCAACAAATCAAATGAACATTAAGAAAACAACTCCTTCAACCTATAATTTTTTTTTTAAATTTTAATTCAATTTATAATAGCTTCTAAAAGAATAAAATAGGAACCTAACCAAGGAGGTGAAAGACTTTCACACTATACCACACTGAAAAAATGGGCTCAATGGCACCCACCTATAATCCCAGCAACTCAGGAGGACCACAAGCTCAAGGCCACCCTGGGTAACTTAGGGAGATCCTGTGGCTGTATCAGAGGAGGAACCTGGTGCACTGGTATGGGGCCGGGGACATGGCCGCTGCCCCGCTATAGGAACAATTCTCTGGGATTTTCAAACTTCATATTAATAAAACATTAGTGGCATAGGGTTTAAGGAAAGGAAGACATTTTATTGGACACTTTACTGGAAAGCGGGTAAGTGGAGAGAGAACTATCCTAAACAAATAAGAGTAGGGGGTTCCAGAAAGATGGAGTCCCTGAGGGTCTTTGAAGACAGTGCTTGTAATGAGTGCGGCAGAAAGACCCTGCCTCCAACCCCAGAGTTTATTATATCCTGATCAGATACTTTAGGCTCTAGGGTCCCACCCCAGGTACCATCATGTATGTGCAAATTTTCAAGTGGGCTTTGTTTCTTTTGTTGTTGTCCTATAGGAAGAATGTATGGGTTTGTTGAGAGGGTTTTACATATAAGGTTGAATTAGTAATTATGTAAAAGGAAACAGTGAGAGAG